CAATAACTTAAATAAAAATAATCAAAATAATCATACCAAAATAAATACAATGAAAAATGTAATATGTAAAGCGTTGATGATTTGTAGCAAAAATTGCTATTAGGCTGTTGTGGATAATATTTTGATTGAAAATTAATAAATAATTAATTTAACCTTAGCAAATGATAGTCCAATAGTTCCTGTTCCGCAACATATATCCAACAAAGTTGTTTCAGAAGTAGGTTTACTTAATTCTATAGCTTTGGTATATAAAATCTCGGCACATTTGGTATTTACCTAGAATTATATAAAATTTATTGTAAGAATTAATTTATTAATTCATTAATGAAATTAAACGGTTCTGAACATAGATAAAAGAAGAGTAGGTTCTGAATATATAACAATACCTTCAAATAGAGAATATAGACAAATTAGGCCATTATTATATTGTCTAGGAATTAGGCTTTCAACTGATATGGAATCAGATCTCTAGACAATACAATAATGATCAGATCTATCAGACCTTACCTATGTATCAGACAATCTTTCAAAATTTCAAAACTCGGAAGTCGTTCATAAGTCAGTGTATAAAAAGAATATTAATTTTGATCTGGCAACACTAAGTATCTTCATAGGGAAATATAGGGTTATGTGGTAATGAGTGCAATGGTTGACAGCATAAGATAATTTGGTTATTTTATTGTTAGCGTATGATAATAAGATTAGAAGTTGTTTATCAAATATATGATAGAGATTTGATTAAAGTAAGTTTGTCACTAATTTCATATTATTTCATAGAAATACACATATTTAATTTGGGTTACTTTACTTGTGCTTTATAGCAAGATGCCCGACGTCAGTGTGATTGCACCGGCTCCAGTTGAAAATGCAAACACGGAACCACCCCCAGAACAAACTACAAACACCATTGGAATAATATATCCCCCACCAGAAGTACGTAATATTGTAGACAAAACTGCTAGTTTTGTTGCACGTAATGGACCAGAGTTCGAAAATAGAATTCGTCAAAATGAACTAGGGAATCCAAAATTCAATTTTTTGAGTGCAGGTGATCCTTATCATGCTTATTATCAGCAAAAGGTCAAAGATATTCGAGATGGTAAAGGAAATGATCAAAATGCATCTGCATTACCAGCATCTTTGCAAAAACTTTCGGTGACATCTGCAGCACATCAGAAACAACAAGAATTACTGAAACAAATTACTGAACAGCAGTTTGTACCAAAAGATCCTCCACCAGAGTTTGAATTTATTGCAGATCCTCCATCAATTTCAGCTATGGACTTAGATATTGTTAAATTAACTGCTCAATTTGTAGCTAGAAATGGTAGACAATTTCTAACAAATTTAATGAATCGTGAACAGCGAAATTATCAGTTTGACTTTTTGCGACCACAGCACTCTTTATTTCAGTACTTCACTAAGTTGCTTGAACAATATACAAAAGTTTTGATTCCACCAAAGGAGTTAATGAGTAAGTTGATAATGAAGCTAAGGGAGGTGATTTTATTTTGGAGCAAGTTAAATACCGTGCTGATTGGATTAAGCATCAAGAAGCACAAAAAAGAAAGGAAGAGGAAAAAATAGAACGTGAAAGAGTTGCTTATGCTCAGATTGATTGGCATGAGTTTGTTGTCGTAGAGACAGTAGATTATCAACCCTTTGAACAAGGTAATTTTCCCCCTCCTACTACTCCAGATGATGTAGGTGCTAGAGTGTTAATGCAGGAGCGTTTAGATGACGATGAAGATATTGAAATGCAGCTGGAATCTGATTCTGATGAAGATGAAGAATCTGAATCTACTGCAGTATCATTAAGTGTCATGGAAGATCGTACAAATGTACGTGACAATAATCAAATACAGGATATGGATGAAGATAGTTCTGATGAAGATGAAGGTAAAAAACAAAAGGATTCAGCTTCATCACAACCTTCTACTGAAAATCTTATGGAGCCCCCGTCACTGGACAAAGTTGTCATAAAAAAATATGATCCAAAGAAGGCAAATAAACCAGCTAAGAGTGAAAACAGTGAAGATTTCCTTATTTCTCCTATAACTGGTGAAAGAATACCAGTAAATAAAGTTGCAGAGCATATGCGTATTGGACTTCTTGATCCAAGGTGGGTCGAAATGCGTGGCCAACAATCTGACAAGCAAGCTCAAGAAAATGTTTATGCAGCTGGTTCAGCTATTGAGGCGAGTCTCAAACAACTAGCTGAAAGGAGAACAGACATTTTCGGTGTGGGTGATGAAGAAGCAGCTATTGGTAAAAAAATTGGAGAAGAAGAAAGCCGCAAAGAAGAACGTGTGACATGGGATGGCCACACTTCAAGTGTGGAGGCAGCTACACGTGCTGCTAGAGCAAATATAACACTTGAAGAGCAAATTCACCAAATACACAAGGTAAAAGGCTTATTACCAGATGAAGAGAAAGAGAAAATAGGTCCAAAGCCAGTTTCTGGAAGACCAGTAAATGTTACTAAACCTGTAATTAACAAGTCAGTTTCTGCAGCACCTGTGTTGACTGCACAACCCGTGTCACAATCAACAGCACCTATGATGACACAAGCTCCAATAATGGCTCAGCCACCACCTATGATGATGATGCAACCCATGAGACCAATGATGGCACGACCAGCATATGGTGTTCCATCACAGCTTCCTTACCTTGGCCCACCAGGTATGCCAACAATGTCTCCTGCAAATATTGGACATATGCCTCCCATGCCACCTATGCCACCTCCACCACAAATGCCAGGTAAGCATGGTTTAGAAATGAGTGCGGAAGATGACATTCCAAATAAAAAACAAAGATCTGAAGATTCACTGGTTCCTGAGCAAGTATTTTTGGCCAGAAACCCAAGTCCTGTGAATTTCAAGGTTCTGGCACCAATGGTTCCTGATAAACCTGAATGGAGGCTTAATGGTCAAATGTTATCTATTGTAATGGCTTTGACCGATAATATAGGCAGTCTCAAATCAAGAATTCAAGAGGAGACTGGAATGCCACCAGCAAAACAAAAATTATCATACGATGGTTTGTTTTATAAAGACACTAATTCATTGGCATTTTACAACATTTCTCCAGGGACAGTTGTTACATTACAAGTAAAAGAAAGAGGTGGAAGAAGAAATTAATTACTATCCTTTAATTAATATGTATCTAATAAAGTTTAATAAAAACCACTTACTTGAAAGAAAGCTTCTGGAGATATTTGATATTGCAGGCCGAGAATTTGATCAGTTATATGAGTTGTTCCCATAATATGTATAACATCTAAAGTAGCCTCTCCTGAAGATCTAAGAATAAGTAATTCACATGAATTCAGTGTTTGATTACCTATTTTAATTGAAGTAACAATAATTACTTACCGTTTTGTAATAAATTGCAGATATAAAGAATTGACTACAATATCTTTTCCTTCACCTGATGAAAAAAAATCTTTCAAATCCTCCTTGAATGCTGTGATTTCAGTTTCAGTCAAATTCTAGAAATACATTCTCAATTTTAAAATTATTAATAAAAATTGCTCTGGATAAGCAATAAATTATGCAGCTCATTGAATTCATAGTTGCAAATAATTTACTGTTTACACATGGTTTATTACTACATTTACATTACACAAAAAAAAACAACTTATGAATATTCACTAATATTACCTGAGGATGTATGCCAACAATGAGCATTAATTCTCTTGTAAAATTTGAGATCCTTATGGTCAATTGCCTAAAATATCCACTGTGGTCTTCTGGTGAAAATACACTATATTTTGAATTTCTTACGAATATTTGAAAAGCTTTTACTGCAGCTTTCATTTGGTCTGGTATATGATTCAATTCCTCAACTGGAGCTACTGCCGTGGAACCTTTATCATAACTAGTTAATCGAAAACCAACTGTGGGCAAATGATTTTCATCATCCAATCCTATAGAAAATTCACATTTGTTACGATATCCATTTTCCACTGGCGATGGAATTATATTTAATAATTCACAAATATATCCATTGTATTTATTCTTTTGTTTATCTAGCCAAGTTTTTAGTGATGGCTGCATCCACTTCTTTAATTGATGATTGTAGTCCTTTAAATATTTTGAATTTCTTTTTGCTTCTTTTCCAGCTGAAAACATATAAGAGTATTTCGTAATAAATACTATTCTGAAATAGTATTAATCATAAATAATTATTAAACCTGTTCTGTATAAGTTAGATTCCAATATGGAGTGGTAGAATTTTTCAGTTTTTCATCTTGTGAAATATTATCTTTAATTTTTTTTGTAGCTTGATCAATGGCTTCTAATTGTTTTCTTTTCTTGACCAAAGGGTCTGGTGCTGGTTTGGCTTCCTACATACATAAAAACGTGATATTACTTAATTGTCAATTGCAATACTTATTGTTCAATAAGAAATTATTCATCCTCCAAATCAAATTCATTATAGAATTTATGTTAGTAGTGTATTGTATTATAATACAATACTATTATAATACTTCACTATTACAATACTTTAGCAGTATATATACTGCTGAATTATCATAATACACTTTTATTTCATAATTAAATTGATTTACATGTGCTGATAATGATTTGCCTTTCCACTGAAATCCATTTATTTTTTGTAGAGCTTTTTTTCGATCATCTTCGCTGCGAAAACATACAAAGGCCCAAGGATTACCCGGACGTATAGTTTTTATTTTAACGCAGTCCAATGATAATTTATCGCTCATTAATTTTTTAAACTCCTAAAATAGACAAAATATATAATTTTCTTTGGTACAGTTCTTTAAATAATCTAAAATACAAAATAAACTAAAACGTACACTAATGCCATAAAACTTTGGTAATCCACGTATTTCAACTTTAAATATTTCTGAAGTAAAACCATCACGATTTAAATAATCATAAACATCATCTTGATTTTTTGGTTGTTCCAATTCTGCTTTAATTTCCACATTTTCATTTGACTGAGTATTTTCAGAAATCATTTTAAACAAATTAGAATAAGCACATGTCCTAACCTCTTTAATAACTTCGATAAGAATGTCAAACAGCTGTCAGAATAAGCCGAAAGGCAGAAGACACTTATTTCATTAATTTAAATATAAAAATATTATTTAAAAACGTGCACATAAATATGACAACTTCACTTTTTTCAATTTTTAACTGTTCTTTAAATGCTATCAACATTTTTAATAGTTGTTAAAATTATTTGTAACTATCCTATATTTTCGTTACTTGTATTACATGTCCAATTTGTGTAAATTCATGTTCAATATAACTGTTAACGTTAATATAGTTTATGACCATGAATCTTAGTAGATTATTTACCAAATAAATTTCTACATTTTATTTAATTTGTGTAATTTTTTATCAATTTTTGAAATTGGTCTAAAGTTTCAATACAGTTATTTTGAAATAAATAAATGCCCAAAGTGTTATGGAATGGATTTGTGCAACCTTTTACTAGATGATAATCTTATAATTCTAGACATTTTTTCTCTCATATTTTCATTTAAAAATGTAGTACACTGCAAATATTTAGATCAAAGAATAGTTTTAAAAAAATTAGGTTCTGAACAAGATTTATCACAACTTGATTTATTACCAAATGAAAATATAAAAAGTTGTGATAGACAAAGTATAATGACTAAAATATATAATTCTTTAATGTTAAAAGTCATTGATGACGGCTTAGAAAATAACTTCAGTTTGCAAATGTGTCCTAGAGTAAATAAATTTGAATATGTAATTGAACAGATTGCATCCCAAAGAAATATGTTCAAAAATGAAGCCAAGTATTGCAGTTTTTTATATAATATGTATATAACATTATACATTAATCCAGAGCCAATCCTTTTGCAGGTCAGTTAAATTATATTTTCTATGAAGCAAACTTTATTTTATTTTTTATTTATTTAAGTAATTGCACTCATTTTTTAAGATGCTAAATTATGAAGAGTATCCCATAGCAAAACATTTAGGGTTTTGCGGTCGGGTGTATGCACAGTCCTATATGGGTGAAACAATTAATAAATTCTACTCTTCAGATTGGAAAAAAAGAGCTAATATTACAATTCAATTACTTAATGCTGCTTTTGTATTTACATTCAAACACGAAATGTTTAGGTAAAGTTTAACTTTGCAAGTATATAAATATATTCATCAAGTATTCACTTCTATATTTAATGTTATTATTAGGATATATTTAACTGATATTTCAATGGATAATATAGCTGTATCTAAGAGTGGAAAAGTATCCTACATTGATCTCGAACATATTCTTTTAGTAGATAAACAGTTTGAAAATGGTAATAATTTTAAACAATAAAATTATTTTTCATTTTAATCAAAATAGTATTTTCAGTGAGCTATAGCAAATGGTACAATAACCACACAAGTGAGATTATAAAATGTGATAATAAAGATTGCTTTGCATTTTCGCCTACAGATATATGTTCACATAATTTAAGTGATCATAATATTTATATGACTTGTGAGGTTTGTTAAAAGTTAAAAGTGAATTATTATATTCTGAATAACTAAATTTTTAAAATAGTTAAAATAATTATTAACATTTCAGATGCTTTTAAATGAATCTCATAACTATCTTCATGGAATTCCAAAAGAAATTAATGAAAGATTTCCAAATCTAGTCGACCTATTACATGACTGTGTCAATCCTTTTAGAGCCAATGTTACAAAATCGAGATTTTCTGTAAGCTTAGAAATAAAACATATGTTAGAAGAAAGTATACAAATATTGTCATCTACTTAGCTTAAAAGTTAATGTATATACTTGTTCATTTAAAGGAAACATAAATCAGTTTGTTATCTTAATTTGTATATTATATACTATAGTTTTATAATAACAGATCTAAAAATTTCATATTTTAACATAATACAAAAATAAAGAGAGCTTTAATAAGATCAAAGTTTTTACCAATTTTAAATAAAACTTATTCTTGTCAATGTTTTCTAATCGAGCAGCAAATTAATCTGCTTAACAAAGAATGCAAACGTATGTTTTTATAATATCACATATAAATTGTCAAAAATTATATACTAGATCACGGGCACTACTGCAGCACCAACACCTCCTTCATGAGCACACATGGCAGGCGCCATTGACCACTCATTTGCAATTGGATCATATACTTCAACAGTTGATAAATTACTCTCACCATCATATCCTATAACACATTTAAACTAGCATAACGAATGGCGAGTTCATAAAAAATATATAATATTAAGATAGAAAAAATAAATTGTTTTAAAATCACAAAGAAAAAATTGCTAATATGCTAGAAGTCATTACTTTTATATTGAAAGTTTTATTTTCTAATGTCTATAAACTTTTTGAACATAAACTGAGTGAGAAATTAAGATATTTTACTAATTATATCTTACCCCCAATAGCCCAAAGCTTGCCCATGTTTGCAACTAAAGCTACCCTTGATCTCATGACATTCATGGGCGCAACAAATGACCAAGAATTTGTAACAGGGTCAAACATTTCTACAGTTTGAAGAAATTTTGAACCGTCATATCCTCCACAAACATATAATTTACCATTTAGAGGAGCAACGCCTAAGCGACATCTACAACATAATAATTAAAATCATGAAGCCAATAATGATAAATTAAAAATAAAGTTTGGATGAATATAAAAAATTGTAATAAGAGGGACAATTAATCTAAATGCATAATTACTTTCAATAAGCTTTAAAAATTTACAAAAAAAAAAGAATAACACCTTCTTGTTAGCATAGATTCCATTTTCACCCAAGTGTCTGTTCTGGGATCATATCTTTCAACAGAATCAAAAATGGAAAGTCCATCATGACCACCTAATGCCCAAATATAACCAGATAATGAAGCCACACCACCAGCAGAACGATATTTTATCATGGGACTTATTAATTTCCATGTATCGGTATTTGGATTATAACATTCTAAAATAGAATATATGATGTAAGCGGTATGATAAAATAAACCTAGAAACTTTAATTACATTTATAAAATTTATAAATGTGAATCATTATTTATCACCAAAATACAAAAAATTAAATATATTTTTTCAATCAATGTAAAAATAACATACCGACTGTATTAAGTGATGTTATTCCATCATATCCTCCACAAACATAAATCAGATTTCCTAATGTAGCAACTCCAACAGCACTAAATTCAAAAAAGTTAAAAAAAAAAAAATGATTTCAAATATTAATATTGAGAAAGTGTGATAACAACTTCAGAATATGATAATTTTTTGAAAAAATGATTCAAAACATTTGAAGTTTAAGTTTATATAAAGTGGTAAATTTACCTTCGTTTATATTGCATGGGACTACCCTTTTCCCATCGTTTTAGCACAGGATCATAAATTTCTACAGTTTTTAACCTCTCAGTTCCATTAAAACCTCCGAAAGCATATAAACGACCTTTGGAAACAGCAACACCTACTCGAGATCTCATCATGCACATTGCTTCACCTATTTGCCATTGGCCAAGTTTAGGATCAAATGTTTCTACAGCTGATACAGAGTCTCCTACAAAATTTACTTTAGATACTTTCTGTTGAAAAGTTGATAAATTAAATAAAATAATCAATTAATTTAATTCAACACATCCCAGATAGAACATTTTTCTAATAATTTGTTGAAGAATAAACAAACCATTTTTAGTAAGTCCTCCAACAGCATAAATATGTCCAATGGAATATTCAAATACTCTAGGTTGTGTTCGAAATCTAGGAATAAGACTTCTTCGTTCAGGCATTAAATGATAATCCTTTGCTTCATCTAGAAGATCTCTGATTTAAAATAAATATATTAAAATTAATATTAACAACTAGTTGAAAATACTTTTGGAAAAACAGAAAAATAACACAGTTTATCTTAACATGATTTTTAACAGAAGTTTATTTTAATTAAAATAATCATTTAAGAAGTAATAAATGTTTACTATGCACCTGCATTTATGAGATGTTCTAATCATTTCTTCTGTTGCTACTCGATCAGCTAAATATTGTGGAGGTAATAAAGGTAATCTAATATGTGCCAGCAACTCAGGTAAGTATTGCTGTCTTTCATCTGGATTGTGTCCAATCCAACCCATTAAAGCTTCAAACACTTCAGACTCGCTATAGTAAAAAGCAACACTTTAACTTGATATTGCTTCTAAGTTTTTGAAACTAATATAAAAATAATGAATCCTGTAATTACCTACTGATATCTAAACCATCACATTGAATTATATTTAATACTTCAGTATTTGATAATAGTAAAAATTCATCACTTAAACACACTTCATGAAAGAATTGTGCCAAGTAAATATCTGCATGTGTTTTTAATTTAGTACATCCCAATGTTTCTGCAAATTGTCTTATTCCAAGCACATTGTGGGGATGAAATCTTCAAATGAAATCGTTTAATTAATATTTGAAATGTATTCAATGGCTTTTTGAAATTATTATCAATACCTCATTTTTAAAAAATCTGCACAAGCATCACGAACTTTTGTCAGTTGCAAAAAGGAAGCTCCAACCATGAGAGATTGTACATTTCTATTTGATATTGTAACCTTGCCAGAATAAGCAAAATTTATAAGGGTTTCTAAAGCTCTAAAGAAAGAAAAACATTATTTTAAAGAATGCAACATGTACTTATTTCAACATTTTAAAAACTCTCTGCCACATACACACAAAAAATATTTCATACATACATTTATACAAATATTTTTTATCAAAGTTATAATAAACATACTTTGGCTCTATTCCTTTCATAACTATATCTCTTTTCTTACTTTCTACCATATTGTGTGTGAACATTGCGTAAAAGTATGGAATTGAAGCAGCTAAAACAATTCTATGAGCGGAAAAGGACTGGTCTTCCACCTAGAGGATATTCATAGTTTATTATAGTTTCATAATTATTATATCATATGAATAAGCATTTCATAAACCCGATTACTTTCAAATTAGAGTATAAAACGGATTTTTTGTTTCAAAAATATAAATTTAAATAACGCATATTATATTATATAAAGCAAGTTATAAGTAGACTTAATGCAGGGACAAGCCCCAAAATTCCAACGTTACTTTTAAAGTGACATCACACAGTTTTCCCTGGCGCCTAATTTCTTCCATGACTGTTAGGCCCTCAGCAAATAGCTCACTTTGTTGAAAATATGAACAATCCTCGTCATCTGCTACTTCCATACTTATAGTGTCGCACATTTTTTTCAAATAAATTTCTTAATTTTTATCATTAAAATTTATCACTAATATTTCATAATAATATAATTTTTGTTTATAGTGACCATCCTTTATTTATTATAATTCAAAAACTTCAAATCTAACAATACCTATAGAAATTCCATTAGCAAAAATATAAATAGTATAAAATATAAAAAGTAATCAGGAAATGGTCCTACTAAAATTTGACTTTTGCTTAGTGTGTCAAAATTAGAATTATTTGACATTTTGGTTATAAACAGAAAAGTACTGTCAATGTCACCAACATAAAAATCATACACCTAGCGGTGAGAGAAACAACCAGAAACGTGTGAAGAACGTCGCAAACTGTCAAGTTGGTTTATTTATTTTATTTAATAATAAAAGTTTATTTATCTACGGCCTGGACAATACAATTTATAAGCTCGGACCAGCTCAGTCAAAATAGCCTGATATATTATTTTTAAGATTGAACAGATATTATTTTTAAGACTGAATTGTGTAAATTTATTACATACAAAAATGCCTTTTGGACTTTTGGAAATATTTTTTTAATAATTTATAAATCACATTAGGCAGATTGTAGATTTACATTTAAACATTATTTAAGAATTTCTTTTGATTATGTTTAGATTAGATTGATATTTCAATCCCTTTAAAAAAATATGTTCAGGAAATAGATCAACCTAAGTTTCTTCTTTGGGAAGTTAAATATTCTATACATATTAAAACTAAAAACGATGCATTTTAATGAATCTTAATTATGATGACCTATATCTTAAAACGCAAGCTTCTTCATTAATAGGTATATGTGTTGCTCAACTTGAAATCCATGTAAATTATTGGCATCACCTTGAAGACGCATTAGTAATCCCCCAAATGAAACATAAGCAGCTAACCTACTAGATGCCTCCATGGCATTGTCGTCACCCTCAAGTCTGTATATTTTTCCTAATATATAAAAGAATTACATGTAATTTCTTTAACACGTTAGCTCAATGTAAAAAAGTTCATATATTCACCAGACATAACATATTCAAAACTGTCTGCTCTGGATCCTTCACTTTCTATCGGACTCCAATCATTTGGTCCACTGTCTGGATATCCATCTGCTCGTAAAGTAGTAGCAAGAACAAGTCGAAATTTGTCTCCAAGTTCCATAGGATATATCCAAGAGTTTATATCTAGTATCAAATCCATTTTGAATGATTCTGATTCACAATGCAATCGACTAACCCTGTCGAATTTTTTGCCTTCAGGATCCATATCCTTCACATTAAAAATATCTTCGAACAAAACACCAGCCATTTTTAGGTTAACAATGCAATTTCTTAATTCTTTGACAAGAAAAGTTCATGAATGAATTACAAATGCGTTGATTTATTTTATGCAATTCGAATAAATAGACACGAGCATTCGGCGATTTATAAATATTAACCAATAATTTTTATTTCTCAAATAATATAAAACAGAAGGAATAGGAAATAACGCATTTAGGTTCAACTCAACTTGTCAAACCGCTGACATGCTACCAACGCTAAAATGCTAATAAATTTTATAGGGCAAGCTCTCCTCTAGCGGATTTTAATGTGAAATTCGACGACCAACAAATATGGCAGATGACACATTTATGAGTTGAATTTGCTGTCAACTAATATCCTTATTAGAATACCGTGTTCCTTATCTATGACCGTGTTCATATAGACCAGCGATTCCCAAAGTGGTCCACATGAACCCCCAGGGGTCCATGGCAACTTTTAAGGGGTCCACGGCAGGGAAAACAAAATTTGGGGGTCCACGTGGGTCCACGAAATAAAAACGGGGGTTCACGGCATATTTAGGAATGATTTAAACTTTAAATGTTAGTATTGAGCTCGGAGCCAGCCACCTATCAACCACGCATATCTCAGAAACTATTGAATGATCCAACTTTAAATTTTGGTCACAATCTTAGTAAAGTATAGTAACAATGTGTGTCAAGTTTCATCAAAATCGAATTATGCATTTTTGAAAACGTACAAACTGTTTCAATACTGGTATTGAGAGCGGAGCGAGCCACCCATCAACCTCGCATATCTTAAAAACTATTGAATTGAAGTGAAAAGGCCCTGAAACTAATATTCATTTTGGTGTAAAACGTGCACTTTTACGTTGGACGTTTGTTGATATTCATATTTTTACATTTTCTCTTCATTAATCTAGCCAAAGTTTGTAATGTTTAACCATTATACAGAGATGCAGCGTAATGCGCTTTGATATTTCGTAAAAAAAATCAAATTTTCGAAATAATTTAAAGCATTTAAAAATTTTAACTTACCGTTCGGGAAGTTCCAGCAATTTGCCTTAAGGCACGATGCCATGCAACACTAGTTTATTATTGCCTTTATTAACTAATTACCATTATTCACGTTACATTTATTCGATTTTTACTTCCTAAACTTCTGCTTCCCACCCAGTACTACGCTTCGATTTCCAATTGCCTGTAAAATCTCCTCCATCGCAAGTAGTCAGCCAATGATCATCAGCATTGTCGTTGTTCTTAATTTTCTTAGTTCTATTTTACCTTAGAGCGTCAATATCAACAAATATCATGAAACGAATATATAAAATAACTGCATTTTTGAAATAACATGTGTTAATAAGATTTCGGAAAATAATATATAATATTTATTCACACCCATACTTTTCCAATTTTTTTTGAACGCCAAGAAAAAATAAATTTAGCAAATCGCATTTTCTGGTGAAAGCATAACTTCTTCAAAAACTTATACATAGGGAGTAGTTTAATTTAAATATAGTAAAGCAACAAGAAGAAACGCAACTTGATCGAATTTGTAAAAATAGTTTTAATTCCGTGGAAGTAGAAAATGCTCTAGTTCCATCGTCTGATAAGACAAATTGGTAGATATGAACTTAATTAAAACGAACTCGGGATGAAGAGCCATATATGCTTAGCAAAACAATATGCAATTTGCTAACAATGGTTCTATCTCATAGTTGCACCAGTTTTAAAATTACTATCACAACTGCGAGTCAAAGAAGTTAAATTTCTCCATGTATTGTTTGAGTTGATTAGATAGACCATTGCAATGTTCTACTTGTGGAATATTACGAAACAACAACATATATTGTTTTTCGTGCAGTTAGAACGAGGCAAATGCTATTACTTTGAAACGATAATTGCGAGGTAGTTTATTTCACTAATGTCGAGCTGAACAGCATCAGAGTATGATCAGAGTAACCCGTATTAGTCGGTTGCTGGTTGCAGCCCATTATAAATAGTCCGACTACTTTTATCATAACTCAATTATGATGTTACTTGTAATTTGTAAGTCACTCATTTCAAAATTTGAAACTTTTTTCCTAGGCAGAAAGTTTTTGAATAATTCAAATCGGCCTTAGCTCTAAAAAAACTCCAATTTTTTGCAAATTTAGCTTTGCCAAAAACTAATAATAATTAAGCACATCTCCCTTACAATAAAAATAAAATGCTTTTTGAACCATTCGAATAAGTTGATCCGTGTTGATCTGCCCGAATTGTAACCATACAATTGTATTGTATTGTACGTTAACGTATGCCAAAATTTTCAATTTCTATTTTTGAACGATTACAATAACTTACCCTACGAAACTACCAAATCCCAATATAACTCTCATGTTGTATTAATAAAATGTTGCAAATCATGCCATCAAATAAAAAAGACGTTAGAGAATCCTTACTTTTCCATGAGTTCCGACAAAAAGTTTTATGTCATCATCAGTGGATACGAACAACATGAAATACATGTACGTACATGAGAATAATGCATTTTTTATATTATTTTCTTCGTGGTATTAGCATGTAAATTTTGTTTATTTATAATATCCATGTTTCTGAAAAAAGATAAAAAATATTGAAACACATGAACATAACCGCAAGCGTACATGGACAGGGATTCTCAGATCAAATAAGAAGCACAAAATGAAATAAAAGCACAGCTAGAGTATGTTGAAATTTAACTATATTTTATTTTTGTCTGCTTTGTTATTCAATCTTGTATAATTCATAAGTAGAGTCTCAAAAATCCTAAGAAACTTTGGTTGGAGTGTGGACTATCTTAAATTTAATATTGGGAACAAAAACTTCCAGAGATTTTTTTATCAATTTGGAAGCCACTGGGAGCAAAACAATTCTAAAATATCCTTATTATGAACCACCCTAATATATATATATATATATATATATATATATATATATAAAATGGTAACCCTGGCAGTCGGTTGTCCTATTTCTGTGATGATTTCATTATTACAGTTTCTGTAATACTGATGTTGTTTTTGTTGGTGCAGCAATACCAGGAAAGAGCTATTTTCATTTGAAAACGTATTTCTATTTATATTATCAAGTGGAAATCGATTTCACTACTGCTTGGCATCAAGCAGCCCGAGACGCCTGAGACCTCTGATTGAAAGCCTATAGATCTTAGCCATGAGAAAGCTCTCATTGCACATAACTTGTATTTTACGAATGCTTTTCTTTTCTGGGCAAAACGTTATTCGTTAAGCGAGGCTCGGCTGCAATTTCGGGCTTCTTCCCAAAGCGGCACTAAATGTAACGTTAGAGCGAGATATTTATCAATAGTTATTGTAGTTTGCGGGTGGTTTTCGCTTTAGAGCACACATAAGACATAAATTCATAACATCGTTATATTGTTTTTCAGCCGCCTAGACGCACACTCAAATTTATTGCGTTTAATAACGGCGCGACCGTGGCACATCCACAAATAACGACTTATATGTCAGAAACGAGCGGTTAGTTTATGCAGCTAAACCTGATATACTTTAACAGCAAATGATAATGGCCGATGTGATGCTTTTCATATTTATATTTTAATATCTAGAAACGATTCTGGTAGTCTAATACTGAATCTGCTGCATTTATTCAATCGAGAATTGGCTACAATGGATAAAAAAACAATGTTTTTACTATATTTGTTACATGTTATTAATAAATGTTTTATTTGGAAAATAGTCTATTTCTAGAGGTGATGAAGTGGGGTGTCTCCAAAAAGTGGCTCCGGACCATACCCATGATTTCAGTCCTTCAAATAATAAGAACACTAAAAGTCGCATAGGCACATATGATTTTCGGATACTAAGGATCAAAATAAGATACTTTGCTGAAGAAACCATACCTCTAGAATAAATTTTGATGTCCCGTGCATTGACCCAAAAATAAGGGTTCAAATTTTTCATTCAATTTTACCGGTATTTTTCGGCTAATTAACATTACCACATTTTGGACATAAATAAACTTAATAATTGAGGTGATAGCAATAAGAAGTAAAAAGTTAACAAATGAGCTAGTTCAAAAAATATTTAAAAAAAATCATCATTGACTTTAATGAAACAATGCTATTTATTTTTTGTTTAAAATTATTTGAATCAATAAAAATCCTACCCGTATTTGTTTGATTTTCCACAAACGTGTCGGAGTATATAAAATAAATTTATATTTTGATAAAGCGCAACGCAGAATCTACATCCACGCACTAATTTTAATTTTAATTATACATTTTTCCTCGCTGTATCAAAACAGAAAACAAATAACATAAAAGTTTGTAGTTAACTATTCTCTATATAATCAAAAATTAAATTAACTTTAACGGCACAAAAGAGAACTTCATTTAAAATTTGGTTTCAGGCAAATTCAATTTATACTCTCTTTTACCTGACCGCTCTATGCAAAAATGAGAATATTTCACAATGATTCTTTAACGGTTTTGCTGCTATATACTGATTTGATTCACAGAGATCAATCAAATGCAATTTCAATCGAAAATCATTAGTTTTTTTAAAATAAATCATATTTTTCTTTGATCGCAATCAAACAGGTGCAATAGGGTTGAAACTAAAACTGGTATGTGAAAAGATGCGAATTTATTCATGGTTAACAGATTATTAATTAAATGTATCGAGATAAAATAAAATATAATAATTAATACTGCATATGAATATTTATTTTATCGCGTATAAAGTTAAATAATTCACTGTTGGGTAAATAAAAAATTTAATTAGCGTGTATAGGTATACCACTAGAAATAATTAGTATTAAAGCTAAATTTTAAACCAATATAAGTAATAATATTAATCTCGCTCGAATAGAATAATTTTTACGCAAAAACACTGAATGTGTGTATCAATTTTAATAAAGAGCCGAATATTTGTTTCAGAATTTTTAAGTAAAAACTTTGAATGATAGAAATGACAAATGAATCAATTTAAAAATCTTCAGTAATTTACACTATTTCACAATATTTATTATCAAAACCTATTAAATTCCGTTCATTCAATGTATAGTCTTAGAATATTTTAGTTAGATTCATTAATTTGAATTTTTAAGGAAAAAATGATTAGTTTTGTATCATAATCATTCGATTTATAAATTATTTGCGATGGGTACTATATTTTCAGAAACATAGAAAGCAACCAGATTGATCTTACGAAATGTAATTTTTTTTTGGCACCTGATCAGAGTCATTTAA